GGATTTCTGACAGTTAAGGCACTGCTTGATTAAGGACCTAGATATCATAAAAGAGAGCTGTAATTCTTAAGTGGTATGAGTAAAAAAAGGAGGAAGGAGAAGAGAAAATGTCAAAATCATTTGGGGAGCTTTAGCAAAACAAACTATTATTCGCACCCTGGAGAGGGATCTGCACATTTGAATTTGAAAACTCATTCCATAGATTCTAATCTCATACCCATAACGGAAATGCTGTTTTAACAAGAAAAATGATAACATGGTAAAAAAAAAACATTTATCCATGGTTCTTCCTCTATCCTCTATATAAATATACCTCATAGAAAATTGGATATTCACCTTACGATGTGTTTGCATTATATCTAGAACAAAGAACAATAATGCTAAAGGCAATTGTGGTTTTAAATAGTGATGGTCACAAATCATTGGTTAAATAATGTCTGAAATGAATGTTAGAGACCTTAATACTTGAACATGATTATATTCCAATAAGAAAATAAAAACTAAAAACACAACAACAAAAATCTTCTGGGATATCTAAAAATATCTGGATTAGGAAGTTATAAAAACAAAATTTAATAAGGATAGATGAAAGGATCAGGTACATAAATTTAAGTGATATGAACATAATTTTAATTTTTCTTTTTAACGTTTATTTATTTTTGGGACAGAGAGAGACAGAGCATGAACGGGGGAGGAGCAGAGAGAGGGAGACACAGAATCCGAAACAGGCTCCAGGCTCTGAGCAGTCAGCACAGAGTCTGATGCGGGGCTTGAACTCACATACTGCGAGATTGTGACCTGAGCCGAAGTCGGACGCTTAACCGACTGAGCCACCCAGGCGCCCCTGAACATAATTTTATAGATCTTTCTGAATGTATGTCAAACCCAAATTTGAGGAATTTGCAATGAACTACCTTTTAAAAATTAACTTAATAATTTTATTTACATATATCTAAAAGGAAATACCAAATGTTTCTTTGCAAGTGGCTAAGTCACGTAAATTCTGACCCACTATTTTGGCTCTACCCGGACAATACTTCATCACTCCACCCATTTCCTCATCAGTAAAGGATGCGATTCGGCAAGATATTGAGAAACCTCTAGCTCTGATACTCAGGGATTCCACATATACTACTTCTTCTCATTCCTCCATCCTTAATCTATAGGCCTACCTGAACATCTACATTGTTCAAAATATGCCCTTCTTTGTATGTGATGCTGGTGTTATTAAATCACTTTCTGTAGAAAAACAACAAGCATTTTGAACTGAGTTGGCTTGGCAGCAGTGACAATGGATTTACACAGAACTTGCCACATTTTTGGGGCCCAAATATCTGTCAAATAGGAGAGGAAAGGAGGAAGGGGTGTAATCTGTATGATTTCTCTTTAGGGCCAACAGACCACAAAGAAAGCTGACCTACAAACTTACCATTGTTTCAACATACTCTAAAGCAGTGATGTTTCTAAACTTTTTATTGCACATATCTCTCAGTAAATAATTTTTGTGTGCAATCCTAAATATACATGTTTGCTTATAAGTTAGAAATACATTATTGTAATAACATTATGTATGTTCTAATATATACATAAATATGGAAAAAGATGTTAATACATAAAAGATCAAAATATTCCATCCCCCAAAGCATCATCTTGCTCACTCTACTTTTTATACCACTGCCCCAAATAACCATTCAAATGATGAGTATTCTACAATACTTGCTGAAGCCATATCACTGACTTTTCTAGCAACCTATCTTCCACACAATCATGCATTCATTACCCTTCTATGTTTGGAATTTAATTTTTTCCTACTTTAATGGATTGAATTTGAATATAGACATTTGGAGATCCAAAAATTGTAAGCCTTCCTATACCAGGTATGTAGGGAAGCTTCTCAGTACATGGGTAAGGATGTCTTATTGTAGAGCTAAACATGTTGACAAAATGGGAAGACTTTAGAAAGTGCCTTTAACTTTGACCTTATTTCATGTCCATTAAATGTGCAACTGGAGTTCTAGATGAAGTTGAACTCAGTTCAAATTCAGAAAACTGAGAAAATATGAACCAAGACTACCTCAGCTGAGTAATTCTATTTCCAGGAATCTATCTTAGATAATCAGAGACAAAGTCAAAGATTCATGTGTGAGGATGTTCATTTTGGAGTTACACAGAAAACCCCAACAGTAGTAGAAAACAATCAATTAAGAAAATTAAGAAGAGGAATATTATGTGTAGCTATTAAAAATTATGTTCTTGGGCGCCTGGGCGGCTCAGTTGGTTGAGTGTCTGACTCTAGGTTTTGGCTCAGTCTCATGGTTTGTGGGTTTGAGCCCTACATCGGGCTCCATGCTTGCAGTGTGAAGTCTGCTTAGGATTCTCTCTCTTTCTCTGCCCCTCCCCAGCTTGCTCTTTCTCTCAAAGTAAAAAAATAAACTTAAAAAAAAATTATGTTCTCAAATATGTTTAAAGTCACATTGTGATTTAAATTTTATCATGTAAATTGAAACATAACCCAAAGTCCTTATTCTTTTAAATAATGTGTGTGTATATATATGAGTGAATATGTACATATATGGTGATTGCAGCAAAACATTAACAGTAGTTACATGTAGGCAGTGTAATTAAGGTATTTTTGTTTTCTTCCCATTATTTTTCTGTATTTAGCCAATTTTCTACAATGGTATATACTGATTTTATAACCAGGAAAAAAAAATTGCAGTATTATTTAAAGAAAATCCTACACATTTATAAAAACCCAGTTCATTTTCTGTTTACAATGAATTTATTGAGCCTGGAAAAGAGATAAATCTTACTCATATGAACATTAGTCTTTTCTGAGTACAGAAGCCATCAGTTTAGATAAACAAACCATTATGTCGAGGACCTACGTGGAGTAAACTTGCTAGTTACTTAAGCCCATGATTGGGCTCAGGGGGAGTACTAGTACCATGATTCAAGCGAGAAAAATCTGTGGTTACCAAATGAAACCACCAGGTGCCACTGTTGCTTCACAGAAAGGAGAGGACTACCTAGCATGAACTGTTTTATTTAGAATAGATATGTGCTTTCACCTGCTCATGGATAACAATAAAATCTTCTCAGAGGCATGACAATTATTTCAATAATTTTATGCTCATATCGTCAAAGATCCATCAAAAGATATTTGAAGGTATAATTTCCATCAATTTTCTTAAATTTTTTTATTTTTTATTTTTTATTTTTTTTTCCATCAATTTTCTATATGTGGGATTGAGAAAAAAGAACATATTGCACTAAGAAATAGATTTCAGCCATTAAAAGCTGACTTTATGTTTTGAAATGCCCTACTAACAGTAGCACTTTAATGCTGTATACCACTGTTTCCTGTGAGAAAGTGCTTTCCTCATTCCAACTCTGAATGGTAGGGATGTAAGTCTCCACCCTGGCTCTGCTACTTTCAACTGTAAGCTTTTGGCAGTTAAATTCTCCATCTATAAAACAGTAATATCAAGCTTATACAGTTATTTTATTTTATTTTATTTTATTTTATTTTATTTTATTTTATTTTATTTTATTTTATTTTATTATACAGTTAAAGTTTGTTTCTTTATTTTGAGAGAGACAGCATGCGGAGTGCACACGTGAGCGGAGGAGAGGAAGAGAGAGGAGAGAATCCCAAGCAGGCTCCTCACTGTCAGTGCAGAGCCTGACACAGGACTTGAACTCACGAACTGTGAGATCATGACCTGAGCTGAAATCAAGAGTCAGATGCTCAACTGACTGAGCCATCTAGGCACCCCTTACAGTATTTTATAGACTGAATAACATCATGTGCATAAACAGGGTTGTTAGACAACTTATTACCTCTCTCTATAGGCATAAGAAGCTCCTAGCTTCCTTGGCTGCTGAGACCACATCTAAGTAAGACAGGAAATCTCTGCCCTGATGCTAAAAAGGGTGCTAGATTTAATATCTTAGGACACGGGTCATTTTCTAATTCAGGATCTGTCATCTATGAGGAGTGGACTATGATAAGTCACTTCATCCACTGGGCCTTCTGGTTTTTCATCTTTGAAACAGGGGGTTGGGCTAAATGGCTCTCAGTTCCCCTCCAGCGAAGAATCCTATGGTTCTATAAAACCTGTACCACAGAAGGTATCATTCTATTTGTGTATAATATACTTTTCGGATAACATGTTTTGCAGGTATTAAAGTTGGGGGACACGTGGGTGCTATCATCCAGTCATTCAGCATTTGAGCTCCTTCCAAGTACCATAGTGCTACACTCTGGGGATATAAAAATGAAGATGATGCTCTTCATTCCTTCCTGGAAGGAAACTCTTCCTTCAAGGAGTTTTCAGTTAAATGGAGAAACAAATATAGATAACCAAGTAAATGCAACAGGGTGAGGGTGTGAACTCAGTATATCTTAGGGGGTATATCTACATGGCAGACAATTGATCTTCAATATGCTGTTGATTAGTCCATTTCATGAAATTCAAAATAATGCTGAAGAACTTTCTGATTTGCTTAAAGTTGTTTCCAGGATGAAGACATTTCTGGGTCAATCTTCTGTGGCTATTACCAACTTTTGGCTTAGAGGGACCTAAGCAAGGTACACTTCTACTTTTTACAATCTATATGAAAATGAAAAGTGAATAGCCTGTGACATAGCAGAAAGGAGACAGATCATTGTTTGGAATAGACCAGTAGAGATTGTCCTGTCGTTTAGCACAGATGTTCACATTCAATTTCAGTCCCATTATCTTTCTAAATTCCCTCTCCTCCTTAGTGTTTGTCACTGACCCTTTTCTCTTCTCTGCAAATTATGATGCGCAGCTTTTCCCAATTTTGCTCAACTGGGTCAGCAGCTCTAAGCCCCCACTGCCTCTGTGCTCTTGCCAATATGCCTTTATTGATCTGAGACTCTCAAACCAGGGGCATGAGGAGGCTGGAGAAGAAATGGAAGAGTAAATACCAGCCTGGCAATTTCAAAAGCTCCCAAATTCCCCTCTGCTTACCAGACTCTCTGTAGTAAGCTCCGGCAAATCCTGGATGGTACAGCAAGGGTAATCCAGGACTGAGATGCTGCAGGACACAGAGAAAGGGACAAGCTTTAGGGAAATAGCGATGGCAAAACATGGCAGTATCTGAAATGGCAGGAGTTATTTCTCTCCAGCAGGCCCCATCTATTTCCCAAAGCGCTTAGCGAGCTCAGCTGAAACTGAGGGTTGTGGTGCCAGGAAACTCCAGCTCCAGTCTCCTCTCCTCAGTCATGAGAGGAACAAACAGAATTCCTTCAGGCTGGCCCCCCATCTGGCAGATGCAAAAGAGACCAGCAAGAGAGCCTGTAGGATAGCCACCTTTCTCCTCCCTTCTTTAAAATGCATGGACAATTGTGTGCATTTGTGTTTTTGCATTTAAGTGTATGCTTGTGTGTATGTGTGAACTGCGTTCCCAGAGATGCTGCCCAACCTTCAAACTTGCTGCCCAATTACTAACAATCTGTGGATGTGAGGATGAAATGAAGCTCTCTCCTGTGTCCTTTACCAAATGTTTCTGGAAGCCAGAAGCTCTGGGAAATATCACAGAAGCCACTCCTGAAGGAAGCTTAAGACAGAGGCAGCTTCCTACAGCAGGGCCGATCTAGTAGTTCAAGAATGGTAATGGCATCTGTCCCCAAAACCCACAGTGGGGGACTGCAAGGGATCTGGAGGCTCTGCAGTGAGCCCAGAGAAGCAGGCATGAGTAGGCAGGGGAAATGAGGCACTGCATGACGACAGAGACAGAATTACTCAAAATTACAGTTCTTGCTTTCCTTTTCTCCTTTCTTTGTTGGTACAATGCAGAATTTAGCTCATCTCTAATGCTTCCTCTGGTTCTGACATTCCATAAGGTTTATAACCAATCCATCTGAACTAGTGCAGTTGGAAATGGATAAAGGATGTTGTCAAAGCAGGGGCTATAAAGAGGAGTATGGGGTTTCTTGGACCTGACCCTACATTTCAAAAGTCAAAACTCTATCCAAGCAGGGGTGCCTGGGTGGCTCAGTCGGTTAAGTGTCCGACTTCGGCTCAGGTCATGATCTCATGGCTCGTGAGTTCAAGCCCCACGTTGGGCTCTGTGCTGACAGCTCAGAGCCTGGAGCCTCCTTAGGATTCTGTGTCTCCCTCTCCCCTTTCCTGCTGTGTCTCTTTCTCTCAAAATAAATAGATGCTGAAAAAACAAACAAACAAACAAAAAACAAACCAAAACTCTATCCAAACAAAAAGCAACAATTTGTTTACCTAGAAATATTTACCTTTGTCCAAGAAACTCAACGATAACCTAGGGGAACCAAGATAGAAGAAGAGAGGGCAGTGGAACAACCTATAACGTTGCTCATCATCTTAATTCACTCTACTGGATTCTCCCAGGGTTGCCAGTTCTGTACTGCTCCATTAGGATAAACTTTCTTGGCTGGCGTATCCACTTATCTACCCACCTCCCACAGACAAAGCCCCATGGCTATGTAGGTGCTGGCAACCAGGAAATGGGGGTGGGAAATCAAAGATGGATGTGTTGCAGTCTCAGTGAACGGAATTCTAGCCTAAGGGGGCCAAAAATAAAGTTACAAGTTTCTGGAATATCTATCTGGATTGTAAAAGCCATGATAAAACTATGCAATAAGGATGTAGGAGTGCTCCAAGTTTTCAGGGATCATGCAACAGTAAAGCTTACAGGTGATGCAAAAGAGGACCATCTTATCCAAGCCAATCTTAGTAAATGATGTAGGCTGGCACTACCACTCTTCCAATTCCAAATGGAACCCAATAGACACCTATCAGATTGTCTGCCTCTCCCGTCTAGGCCCATGGTGCAGGGTAGGTATTTAGTTCCTGAACCCCAGCCATACTTGATTGATCCAAGCAAGGATGGATCTCCAACCCCGGAAATGTGGAACAGGACTCTTGTATGTTTCTCTTAATTAATGCTTATATAAAATCTCTATGATATAGTGAGAGGATGTATTATTTTCATCATAAGATGAAAATACTGTGGCTCAAAAAAAAAATGTCCTTACTTAGATTACATAGCTAGCAAATGGCAGGTCTCATGACTCTGGGTTCCATGTGTATGTTTTATTTTAAACTACGTATAAGTAGGCTGCCTCTCTATGGTGGATTTTCAGGCAGTACTGACAAGACTGGTGAGGCACCATCTCCTGGTGCTCTCCAGTCAACCCAAGTGATCACATCAGCCTTCTTACTTCTACTTTAGGAGCTCTGCCTCTGGTAAAAGCATTTCTGGTAAACTTTAATTAGCATGCTTCCAGTTCTCGGGGAAGTAGCAAACTAAAGAACAAGGATTTACTCTGTAACCCCCAAGTCCCCATTTGGCTGGAGGAGTGGAAAGCAATTTGTATTCATAGCGATTGTGACCAGAAAACAATTTTGTGTTTTGATCCTGCCTCTACTGCTTACTTAAGTGGTCTCACTAGCATGTTAATCTTGAGCAAGTCAATGAAGCTCTCTGAATTTGTTTCCTACTTGGTGAAACGGGAATAAAATTTGTAATACCTCTTAGCGCCGAGGAGATTAAATAAAATACCCTATATTTGTCTTATTACAAACTGATCTAAGTAAGGATCTATTATTTACCTTCAGTTACAAATTCGGTATAAGACTACAATTTACAAAGAAGCATAATTGATCCAACTTATGATTTATACTAAAATCAGGGCTGGCCAAATAAGAAGTCTGTTTCACAAAAAAAATATCTTCTGGATCCTTCTGCCATAGGGCTAAAATTTCAGTGTTACAGTTTTATTTATTTGAATCATGACATTTTTCAGTTTTCAAAACTGTTAAAATACAAATACCTCTGTGAAGAGGCCAAACCACACACCCCATCATCAACTTACACTTTAAGGAAATTAAATTTAAGAGTGACAGCTCTAACATTGAAGGGACTAGGGACACAAGGAGAACTGAAAGGCTCAGAGATGTATATTTCTCAATCCATTCCAAAAAAGACCTTTGAAATAAATCTGTCCAGAGTCCATACCTGTTTTTGGCAGTGATGTAGGACAAGATATTTTGATTGAAGAACTTCAGGATCAAAGGAATGCAGTTGGCAAATACCAAATGTTGTGATACATATTCAAACTGAATTAAAAGATCCAAACAGAAAGGTTGCTTATTTGGGGGAGAATAGAAAGTGTGTATGAAAAAGATAGGCAAGTACAACTCTAATATCCATTCCTAAGAATATCCAGTGTCCACTTATGTTATCAGCCATCCTGAGAAATGGGAGAAGCATCATCAGCCAGCTCATCCTACATGGAGGACGATCTTCAGTGTGTGTATGTTGTTGCAAGAAGCTGACCAAAAGCACAAAACACAAGCAAGCCAGAAAGAAAATCCCACTCCAGGTAAATAGAAGGAATCACTGTGAAATTTGTTCCTAAGCTCAACAAGAAAGGAAGGCTCCCTGAGGGAGTTGTCTTCCATACCAAACCTCTGGCTCATAGTGTTTCCACAGTGATTGATATAGCAGAAACAGGTGTAGCTTACTCCCAGCAACTGCTGGCATCACTCAGTCAGGATGGATATGGCACACAGTAACCAAGAGAACCACTGGAATGTGGGCTCCAGCATGAGTCTATGTGGTTCACTGTATTATCCCTGTACTTACAATATCAGTATATTAACGAATGGATCAACAAAAGCCCTGCACTGAGAATAAGTCCAAGATCTCTTTGATGGCTAAACACCCGAACATAGGGGTTCCATTTTGCTCGCTTGAATTTGGATGGGGTTTGTGTCTGGGAAAACCTAGTGGGCAGTGTCATGGAGTTGCATCACCTAGGTTTTGCCTGTGATACACTGAGGAGCATCAGATACAGTGTGCTCCAGATCCAGAACCCAGACTACTGGGACAGTACAGAAACTGTGTTGAAAAAGCAGAAAATTGTGGTGTTTTAAATCCCTTAGCTTTTCCTGGTCACCAAGAAGTAGCCATGGAAACAAACCAAGCTGCCCTCTGCCCCTGGGCGTGTGGTTAGAGGTGGGGAGTCAGCTTGGGCTGCCCATTTCTTTCTTCTGCTCAAATATTTTCTCCCTGGCAGCTGACCCAGGGTATTTTCCAAAGCTCCAGATGGAGCAGCCAATACATACCCACTATGAAGTTATGGAAAATGTTTTTCAGTTAGAGATGTATCTGTAGACTTGTTGGGATTCACTGACACTGACACACACTGGCAAGGCCCATCAAGCCACCCACCTGTCTGGCTGTTGATCCACATACTGCCCACCAAGAGAAGCAGACAGAAAAACATATCCACGGTTCTCTGTTCTTTCTACTAGGAACACCATCTCCCACCCACCCCTTCTCCTCCCAGCCCTGCTGTTGCTCAGCAAACATTGGCAGAAGAAGTGTGAGCACCCAGGACACCCGTAACACACCCAAAGATGTCTCTGGATGTACTAATGTGGAGAAATACCCTGATTATATAGTCAAGCCTCAAGGACACAGAGCCTGCAGGAGCCTCTGTGTACTCCGAGAACCTGCTGTTCTAGCAACAAGCTTGGTTCTGACTTCTTAGGAGGACAATGGAGCAGAGACACTGAGCAGTCATGAGAAGTCTCCCTCTCCTCCCCATGTTCTCATCACAGAGACCATCCATTCTCTGCTCCCAGGTTCCCCCATATCTTGGCAAAGCCCACAGAATCAAGTCCAAACTCCTTAGCATGGCAAACAATGCCTTCATGGGGAAAAGGCTTCTTAACCTTTCTTAGGAAAGGTTTCTTAGGAAATCTCGGTTTCTTTATCTATAAAACAGTGATAAAATAAGACCTACCTCATAGGGTTAAGAGAATTAAATGAGAACCCATAGGAACTTAATAGAGTGCCGGGCACATTAGAAGTACTCAATAACCGTGTGCTATCAACTGTGTGATTTGCTCCCTGCCATCGTCTCTAGCTTCATGTATCACCAGCCCTCCCCATCTCCCCCCACCCCAGGCAGAACTCCAGCAACATTTAATCAGTTTCCAAAGGTACTTTGCTCTCGCTCTCTCTCCTCTGGACTTTCACAAATTAACATTTCTGCTTGAAAGGCTTCCCATCTTCCTTCCCTGACAACTCCCATATCTTGGCTAACATCTGTTTCTTTAGGACTCAGGTTAGAAGTCACCTCTTCCCCATCTCAGGTTGGATTACCAGCTAATACTTACCTGTATCCTGCACTTACCATTCCATAATTAGCTATTTATATATCCATACCTTGTACAAGACTTCAAAGCCCTTAAGAGCCAAAACTGTGCATTATTCAGAATTCTATCTCAAACATTAGAAAAGTGCTTCACATATAGAAAGCTATGCTCAACATACTTTTTCCTTTTTTTTTTTTTTTTTTAATGGAATGCTTGAATCCTGTCTTCTACTGCTTCAAAGCTGGCTGGGCACATTCCCAAGAAGCGAAGAATTCTTACCTACAACCCTTGGATAATATTCAAAGGACACAGATGTCTGCACCTCACATCCCACTTCAAACCCCCCCACCCCCACCCCGCCCCAGCCCCATGCAAGCCTATGCAACAGGTATAGAGATTCCCTGAGGAAGACATAGAAAAGGTTGAAAGATGTTCAACTGGACTACAAAGGCCCCTGCATCCTCTCTTTGGGAAGCAGGGCCTGGGGGACACCTGAGACCTGTGGAGGAGCACTGCTAGCTGCTCACCTGGTAGATATGGTTCAGTTTGAAGTGTTTGAGGAGTAGCAGGAGCAGAGCAGAGATACTCTTTACGATGATCTCCTTGTGCCTGTTCACATCGATTCCCAACTTCATGCTCTGAAGAACAGTGATGCTATAATGAGGAGAGGAGGAGTCAGTGCAGAGAGTAGCCGTAGAGAGAGGCCTACAAGGACCCAGGTATTTGGGTCAGAGACAACATATACAAGAGAACCAGAACTTGGCAGATCTGAACTTCTATGCTAGGAAACCTCCAGAGCTACCCCTTACCACCCTGTCTGGAGAAAAGCTCCTCTGCTCTCTTTGTTTTTCTCTTTCCTTTGGCAAGTTCAGCCCTTGGCAAAGTTCAGCCCTTGTCTACCCATATACCTGCGCAGTCAGTGTCTGGCACTGATGTTGCCCTGCAGACCCTCAATTCTGAGCTAAATAGAACCTAGCAGAGAGCACCAGTGTAAAGTGGTTACTGGTAAGGGAGGGGAGACATCTTTGGAGACAATCCCTATAAGGGTTATCAAGGTGGGGTGGGGACTAGAGAGACACTGTAGACGAAACAGCTAGCATGCAGCAGCCAACCCAGTTGAAGCACTCACGGCATCTCCTCAGGCAGGACATCAGCCAGGATATTGATAGAGTCTGTCTTAGCCTTGGAGGTGGGGGCTGCAGCCAGTAGAATCTTAAGCAGAGCAATCTAGGAAGTAGAAAATGAGGAGATCCATCTCTGTCCATTCCATTCAACAGACTATTTTTCCATACCTCAACAGCCCTATGAGAAGTAGGGCTTCCTCTATGTCCATTCCTCAATAACCAAATCTTCTCAGCCTCCAGAAGGGCAAACAGGTGCCTAATCCTGAGAGGCCTGCCTATGAGGCTATGGACCCAGAAGGGAGCTTATAGGCTATTCTGCTTCAAGATTGATCTTTCTAAAGAAGAGGATGGAAGGAAGAGAGTGAGGGGGCAATGTCTAGAAATAAGGTGAGAGATATAAGCATGATCTCACCTCCTCTATCCCTTTCCTCCCTCTAACCCTGACCATCAACATCCTTACCACTCAGCCTGAGGCTATCCAGGACATGACAGACCATGGCAGACTTCAAAGGGTCGGGGATATTTACTTAGAAGGAGGGCCCCCAATGCATCCTGCATGGATCCCACCTTATTCTCCACTCCTCCCAAAGAAGAACTTGGGAGTAAAGCCAAGTCCTCCTTCCTCTTGGAGAAGCCCTGAGGAAAGCTCAGAATTCTCACGTGTTAGACAATGCCTTGCCTCAGGGTTGAATGCTCAGGAAATAAGCTCAAATGATGGATGGCTCAGCTTGAAATGGCTCTCAACTGTCTGTTCCTTGCAGCAGAGAAGGGCAGCTCAGCCCAGCAATCTCCTTACCATGTACTGGGGGAGGCTGTAGAGCATGCCTTGGTAGAGGATTTCACATGGTGTCTCTGGTACCACCTCTTCCCCCTATGGCAGGAAAACACACAGTTTGCCCAGGCCGTTTTCCAGTTGACCAAAGGCTATGTTTTCTTGGTTGTGAAGGGTGGCATGAAAAGAGCACTGAGCTGGGAGTCAGATCTAGGTTCTTATTCCAGCTGTGTTAATGACTCATTGTATCACTTTGGGTAAGCTACTTTTCCTTTTTGGGTCTTAGTTTCCTCTTCTTTAGGATCACTGGGCTGGTCTGATGTCCTCTGAGGGCTCTTCCAGCCCTGATAATCTGATTCTGGTTTTCCCATTATCTGGAATCAATCCAGAATTCTTCTTTCCACATCACATGTTAGATCAGGAATCAGACCACCTACCTAGGAATTGGCTCAGACCACTGCTTTGCTGGTCACACAGGAACTTAAGTCAGGGTGCATGTATGCCTGGGACACTAGAACAGATACCCCACACAGAAGCACTTCCTATGGTGTCAGTCTGAGGCCATCCAAGAGCTCTCGAATGCTCTTAAGTGGGAGGTAGGTAACTCAGTAGAGAAAGTCGATAAGGGAGTTGGGTAACCCATGGCCCAGAGAGGCAGGAAGGAGTATTAGCAGGGAAGCTTTTGGGTAGAAGCTATTTTCTTTCCTTTTCCAACAGCCCCTACTACATCCCTTCCTCCTTAATGACAAGGCCCCTTATGCACAACTCTCTTTGTCCTTTGATGACCCTATCTAAGCCTTTTATAAGAGTGGGCGGACAGGGGCCTCCAGTGCTCAAGGGGTTACTCAGGCCATTGTCCTCTTTGGCCAATGCAGTCCTTCCTCTCACAAGGTACCTCTATTCCAGGGCAAGGTTCACTGCCTTGAGGCACCTGAGGCACTGCCTGAGGTCTACCCTGAGGCAGGGAGGGATAACCTGGCCCTTGCCATCCCAAATAACTCAGCTGCTGCTTAAATGGGCATTCAATAAACTCAGGCAATCCTCTAAGGTTGCCTTCCTGCTCTCCAAAAGATCTATGTCATACCTTCCCTTTTCCCTTGTCCTCAAACCAATCCCCTCACCCCACAACCCCTCAATAGTTGCTAACCTGGCCTCATACTTCATGGAGAAAACAGAAGCAATCAGACAGGCACACCCTCGTCTTCTCAACACCAAATCTACCAGGTTCTCTACCTTCCTTCTTGACATGAAGGATGAACCGCCTCTGCTCTATTAAAGGCCAACCCTCCACTTGTGCTGGGGATCTCTCACCCTTTTGCTCTGTCAAATACATCAGTTCTGCAATCGTCTCCTCTCTGCAAGATCATCTCTTTTAGGACATAAACATACTCTAGAATCTCCTAGCTATAAAACACCTTCCCTTGACCCCACATCCTCCTTCAGCTACCATCCCATTTCTATCCTCTTTATAATAAAACTATGTTGTCTGTGTTGACTGTCTACCTCCTTTCTTTACATTCCTTTTTTAACATACTCCAACCAGGCTACTAGCCCCACCTTTTCACTTGAGGTTGCTCTTAACAAGGTCACCAGTTATCTTCATGGTGTCCTATCCAATGGGCACCTATAGTCTTATCCATTTATCAGCAGCATTTGACACAGCTGATCACTCCCTTCTAGAAAAAAATTTTCTTAGTTTTTATAGTATCACAATCTCCTACATTCTCTCCCACCTCACTGAGTGTTTCTCTTACTGTTCTTTTCTGGCTCCTTTCCTGACTCATCCTACCCTCAACATACTGGTGTGCCCAGGGCTTTGTCCTGGGTTCCTTCCTCTATTTCCATTCCCTCCTTGGGTTATCTCAGCCAATTCTATGGTTTTAACACTGTCCAGTAAGTCAACAGCTCCCAAATTTATCTCTCTAAGCCAGTCCTCTCTCTTAGAACTCTAGATTTATACATTCAATTTGCATGACTGCTCATGTGCATGGCTGCCTAATGGATATCTAAAACTGAGTATGACCAAAATAGAACTCTTGATGAAACAGAACTCCCCATGTTGGCAAATGATTCTTATTCTTGATTCCTCCGTGCCTTTCTAATCACATCCAACTGACCAGCAAGTCTTGTCAGCTACACCTCCAAAATAAAACCCAAATTTGTTCCACTTTTCCCTATTTCTGTAATTACTACCCCACTCCATATCACCATCATTTCTCACCTTGACTATTTTAAGAGCTCTCTAACTGATCACCCTGCTTCCACTCTTTTCTGGTAAAGTCTATACACAGGAGCCAATTGTTTTGAAAAGATAAATTAGATCATGCCACTCCCCTGCTTAAAATCTCCAAGGACTTACTTTTGAAACAACTTCACACTCCCTATCTTTGCTTAGGAGTCCTGTGTAAAGTAGCCCCAGGCCACTCCCTGACTTTGTCACACACAACCTCACCCCTCACCCCTGTGCTCTTGCCACAGGCCTTCGTTCGCTACCCCTAATACTCCGAGCTTGCTCTCACTTTGTTAAGGCTGTATCCTCTGCTTAGAATTCTCTTTCCCCTGATGTTCCTATGGCCAACTCCTTCTTGTACCTCACATTTTAGCTTAGCTGTCGCCTTCTCAGAGGTCCACCTATCCTGACTGCCTAATTGAAAGTAGTCTACTGCATGATAGATGCCTCTACCACGTCATCCTATTTAAATTTTCTTCATTATCTTCCATTCTCTGATAGTCTTCTTGTTTCCTTAATTACTTATTTTCTTTTTTCTCTAACTTGAATGTATCATGAAAGTAGGGACCTAAAACACAAAAAATAAAAAGTAGGGACCTTGCCTTGCATGGTACACACAGTAAGAGCCCAACAGCATGCACACATGTTCTGTGACAGCACTGCAGACAGATTTCCTCTTGCCCTCCTCCTCCTGTGTAGGACCCCCTTGACTCACCAAAGACATGGGGCACTTCTCCAGGTCCTCCTCATTCTTGATCTGAACATCTGCAATGGAGATGTACTTGTGCTGGGGAAGAAAAGACATCAATTAAGAGGCTGAGGCCACTAAAAAAATAAGATAGATAAATAAATAAATAAACAAACAAACAAACAAACAAACAAAGGGTGGGGGACACCTGGCTGGCTCAGTCTGAACAGCGTGCAACTCTAGATCTTGGGGTTGTTGAGATGCTGGGTGTAGAGATTACTTAAAAAAAAAAAGAAGAAAGATACTGAGGGCCTTGATCACATATGTACCAGCCTCTTGCTTAACTTCCTCAATGATAAGGAAATGTCCTGTATATGGGTTGTTACCCCAAATAGGACACGAACTCTTTGAAGGCAGGGGTCTTATTCACCTTTGTACCCTTAATAATTGAGCCAAGTGCTTCATATACAGTGTTTATTCTGTTTATTCTGTTTCCGTATTTGTTGAAGAGCAGCAAATCCCTAAGTATTTACCTTCAACCAAGGGCAAGGGGAAGTAAAGAATAGGCCCATGCCCCTGGACCACTGCCTGGTGAGTTTCGCTGCATGTGAGTATATGTGTGTGCATGTGTATGGAGTGATGATGATGGGGTAAGGGAGAATTTAAGGTCTGGGCAAGAGACGACTATTCTTACTCTTTGTGCTCGCATACACTTTGGATGCAGAGCAGACCGCTACTAATCCTGGGCCTTTGGAAGTTAGTGGCCCTATAGGGACAAAGAAGTGAGAGGAAAGGAAGCAAGGGGCAGGAGGAGGAAAAAGCCATGAGAGGAAGGAAGGATAACTTTCCCCCATCTGAATGTAGGAAAATACTTAAGTAGGGAGAGGCCTAATTTTTTCCTCTTTGGCCAAAATGCTTGCAGGGGAAACATAGAATAATTGGTTCAGAATGTGTCTGGAAGAAGAGCCAATACTCAGGACTCGGGTAATCCAACTTGTTTTGATGGCTCCCTATCCCTGGAGACTGAGAGCCCACTCTGGTCACCTGCTTTAAAGTCTTCACACTCTCATGGATGGGCCTGGGTAATCCAACCAAGGTGTCTGTGTCCCTGTGAAATGAGAGATATACCAGATGATAAGCATCAAAAGTATACAGAACTACTGATATTCCCTAGAGTTGCATGGACCATGCCACTTTCAACATGCTGTATCCTGGATCTTTCTCTATAAGCTTCCAGTACCCCCATTATTGCTATAAGACACAAAAAGAACAATGCCACACAGAAGTGCTTGTGAAAATTTGGATTTTTATATAGTTTTTTGGGGATTTACTTTGTCAGGGAGCAGTAGGTTCCCTAAAAGGGAATGTAGCCCAACTACAGTGAAACACTAGTAATAATACTTTCTCAGTTTTATAGGGGCCAGCCAGTGTGAGGAATTCATGAGGGAGGAGAAATGGGGAAAGACTGGGTCTGTTCTGACCATGTTGCTTGTTCAGAGAATTCTGGCCCATTAAAACAGGAAGGTTTCCTAGGGATCATCTAATCCAACACTCTCATGAGGACACTGAAGCCCAAGAGGCAATGACTTGTTAAGTCCTACACCTGGCTAAGAACATAAGAGTTCTTCTAAGAAACTAGAAGGAAAAAAATTCCATGGCACAAGCCCAAAGTAGTCACTAGGAGATACCCATGACCCAGTAGCTCTAGGTTACACTATGACTACAGGGCAACATCTCTCATTCCAGCCACCCATTCCTCTGGCCCCCTAAAAACCACTCTATAGCCAGTTCTGACCATCTAGTCACTTACTGCCCCAGAGTGAATCCGATGAATTTGTTCCTGCTCATCTCCAAGAAGTGCTCAATGTCCTTCTGTCTGAGAGGACAGTGGAGAGGCAAACCCCAGAAAAGGAAAAAAAAAAAACAAACAAACCTTGAGAGACAGACCCTTTCTGGGCTACTAACCCGTCAACAGGATGACTAGAGCAGTGGGGGAAGATCACCGCTAACAGAGAAAACTTCAAACCTGGGAGTTCTGACTTCTAGCCAGGCTTGAGACTTGAATGCTAGACTACTGCACTCTGGGCCTTCAGTGATTCTAATCCCCAAACTCAGGGTCCTGGAGGTATCAAACCTACCTGACCTTTGGGGCCCAAGGTAGGCCCTTGGGAAAGGCCACCCGCTCAGCAGAAAGGGGTGCCTGTGAAGGTGGAGGTGGCACCAGCGGGTCTTGCTCTAGCAGGTCTAACTCTCCATCTAAGGTTCGTTCTCCATCACCAGCAGACTCCTCTTCCTCCTCTGTGGCTGGTTCCTCAGTCTTAAAGAGATCTCTTTCATTGTAGATGTCCAGGCTATCTTGCTTAGTGAGGAGTTGCTGGGTGGGGGTTGGGAGGGTAGAGAGAAGGTATACAGAGACCTCACTCTGAGCATCCTTGTCTGAAGTCACCCTCTACCCACAGGCTGCTAGACTTCAGGATACGTGGAGTAACAACCCAGCTCTTCTGAGAATATCCCCTTCCCTACCTCAACCCTAGTATCCCCACCAGGCCCTATTCCAGGATAAGTACCTCTCAGGCAACCAAGCTGGGGAACAAAGCATAGATAATCCCAAAGTCAGTTACTTAGCTTTCAGAAAGCATGGATGCTTTTTTTCTACCCCCCCCCCCCCCCCCCCCCCGCCCCCCAGCACTTTCCTTCCTAATTATGCTCTGCTTAGGTGAACATTCAATTAGTTTGCCTTCTGTGAGTATACACCAGCTGGCTGACTGAGGAAGAGGAGGACAGAGGCTTGCTGCTAGGCAGAGGGAAGCAAGTTTGGAATTTTAAATCTTGTTGCAGAAAGAAAAAAAGGCTGGACAGAAATAGGCCAAAAAGTTAACAGTGACTGCCTTTGGTTTGTTAAGCTTGTGGGTGATTTTCTTTTTTCCTCCCTTCTTCACATTTTTATGTTTGTTCCAAATTTTGTACAATGAGTAAGCATTACTTTATAAAACAAAAAAAATAAAGCCTAAAAAAAATCACATTATAGATTATGTAGACTAGACTACTGAACATGATTGTCTGGTCCTGTCACCTATTATTGGTGAGCTCAGGTTATTTCAGGGAGGTGAGTTCATGGGTACATGGTCAAGTGTCAGTGCAACTTGTCATTCTGACCTTTCCAGGGATGCAGATTATAGCTAGAACACTAATCAATCACCTCCTAAATGTAAGCGTCTAGTTCCAGGGCCAGACAAGAGCATAGCTGGCTCAGAGTAAACCTTCTTGCTGTCAAGAAAATGATAAAGTGCCTCACCCCGGGCACATGGTTTGCTGGGAGCTCTGTTCAGGTGATATGGGTCCCTACTCCAGGATTATACCCTAATTGTTGTCCAGGATGCTAGGGAACTCCAGGCACACTAGGTCTAGGCCAATGACTCTGTACCAAGACATGGATCTATGATGTGATACCATAATGTCACATCATGATAGCCCAGAAACCTGCTGCAGCTGGGAGACAGAGGCTAAAGTACAGACTCCAAGGTTAGACTCAATGTTAGTTTCAGGTTAGTCACAGGGCCAACCAGAGGCAGGATAAGCTGGGTCATTTACTGCCCTTTCCTTCCACATCCAGAGTAGCTCAAAATCTTAATTTCTAGACAACTAGTATCACAGCACCACTGTCTGCTTTAGTTCATACCCTTCGAGAACCACGACGGCCTCGCAGCTTAGAGGGTGGTGGTGCCAGTTGAGACTCCCCCAGGTCGAGGGTATAAGAGGGCGGGGAGGCGGCACGCATGCTCTTCACCACCTGGATGCTATCTTCAGCCAGTGGAGGCAGCCCCAGTTCTGCCCGCTTCTGTACTTTGAGAACCTGTAGATGCTCAAATCCACCGAGGGTAAACTAAGGTATAAACAGGAAAGGGCCAGAGGAAAGGAACAGAGGGAAGTCAGCAGGAGAAAAATCAGGGAAGAACCACAATCTCCAGTCCCCTTAGACTCCCTTCTGAATTAGCAAGTAATAAAACAGTAAGGGGCAAATGGAGTTACCATCCCCAGTCTTAGGAGCTCAGGGGTCAGGATGAAGCATTATTTATTTACTGACACTGACTTAGGGCTGGAAACATCACCAGAAATTAGGAAAAGGACTCCTAGGGCCTTCCACTGAAAAAAAGGGTGGGGGGGGGGAGCAGGGAACTATGTTCCCTTTTTTAAAGGAGCACATCCAGATGCTATAAAGCCCCAGAGTCACTCAATTTTTTCTGCAGTCAAAAGGTAGTTCCCCCCTATGGAGCTTGCCCTGGAGGGTATGTTGTTCAACCAGTCCTGTGGAGTGGGTGCCAGAGATGAAGGATCAAATTTAATAATTAGCAACAAAGCTGTACCACACATTTATAAGGACTTCATTTTTTAAAAAACAAATCCTCTGTTTATCTGGATGGAGGGCAGGCACTAAGTCCCACATTTTATAGCTAGGAAAATAGAGGCACAGACAGTTGCCCGAGGTTCCTCAGTATCAGCAGAGGCTAGATCTCCCAACTCTCAACCAGTGTTCTTTGCATGAAATGTTAGCTCTATCATGGGAAGGTACAATGACACCCCAATTCATAGAGTGACATCTCCTGTCAGTCCAACAGAAATAGGTAACCTGCTCTGACACAGAGCATCTGATTCCCCTCCATTGGCTAACAGCTGCCTTATTCTGCCTAGCTCCAGCCTCCTGGGATCGGACTAGGAGAAACTGAGGTAGTGGCAGAGGGCACTGCTGGTTTGATGAGATGGGAGTGGGGGCAAGGGAATCAGTCACTCACCATGACTACCTTCCAGAGCAAAAGCAGGACCTTCTTTATGGGGAAGTGGGGAGCCAGGCCGCTGCAGAACTTGGTAACCATGGAGAAAAGCAGAAGGGCAAAAGGCTCCTCATTATGCATGGAGAAGCCTGGGGGAGAGGAGGGAGAAGAGTGAGGAAGTGAGGATGGGGTAGCTGTAACCCTGCCCCTGTGATCCTGAGTCTGGAAGCACAGAGGAAGGCTCTTAGCTCCCCCAAAGAATTTGAGTATTTGCTCCTTAGAAGGAGGCTTACAGAGTTCCCAGAGGGAAGGGGCAAGGAGAAAGGCCAAGGAGGTAAAATGGCTTAGCTCCCAAGCTTGGGGATAGATACCAAACTAGAAGTAACAGTAATATAAAGATATTGCTTTCTGGTCAAAGAATTCAATGCGTTTCATGGATCACAACTCACTTTTCCACATCAGTGGAATTTTTATTTTTTTATTTTATTATTTTATTTATTTTATTTTATTTTATTTTATTCTATTCTATTCTATTCTA